GGAGTTGGTTCGCCACTCAAATCCTGCCTTTGCTACTCTTATTTATCAGCTAAGCTTTTGGAGGACAATACTTATGCCTTCTCCTATCGCTCTGTCTTTCTAATAAAGACTCCTGAGCCAAAGGCAGGTAGATGGAATGCCTGACTGAAGGCAAAGTGGGATGAAAGAGGAGAGAGACCAAATCCAAATAACAAAGGAGAGCAGCCTACAGGGAAGGCCCTATTGTCCAGAAAATGCTACAGAGAGTCTCTCTTTGGTCTTTGCAGCCAAGAGTGCTAGAAAAACTTCTGACGATAAACCATTTCCACTGGCAGAATACAATTTTATTTGTTGTTACACTAGTCATTCATGAGGAATATCTTTGCTTTGTTCTGGGTCATTTACCTTGAGTTGGAAAGATGTGAAATTAGCCTGGAGGCCAGGAGTGGGGGGGATATGATTTGTATTAATATTTTTTGAGATATGATGTTGGTATGCAACCATAATAACCCACACATTGAAAAGTTAATTCAGCAGGAGGAATTCTGAGAAGTAATGCAACTTATTTGTCACTAAGGAGGACTGCATAGCCAAGTGATTTCTTTATGCATTTTAAAGTGCTTTTAAACCCTTGGGTAGCTATAGTCAATTTTTAAACATGTTTTCTCATTAATTTTGAATTTGTAAATGTACATTGTACAGGAGTGTTTTAATCATCTGGGGAGGCTGTTTCACAGATGGCTCTTGTGTGACCTAAAATTTCAGTGATTATAATGAATCAGAATGGATGATGGTAAACTTGCTAGGAGATTTGCTGATTGTCAACAGTTTTTGCAGCTTTGCTGGTTTTTTTTTTGAGACAGAGTTTTGCTCTTGTTGCCCAGGTTGAAGTGCAATGGCACGATATCTGCTCACTGCAACCTCTGCCTCCTGGGTTCAAGCAATTCTCCTGCCTCAGCCTCCCAAGTAGCTGGGATTACAGCTACACACCCCCACACCCACTAATGTTTTGTATTTTTAGTAGAGACGGGGTTTCACCATGTTGACCTGGCTGGTCTTGAACTCCTGACCTAAGGTGATCCGCCCGCTTTGGCCTCCCAAAGTGAGGGTATTATAGGCGTGAGCCGCTGTGTGATGTTCAAGAGCACTACTGTTCTTGAAAGTTTAGTGCTTCTGCAAAATGAAAGCAATTGTAATGGGGCCATCCAGGAGTGGCCTAAATGAAGTAATTTCAGTCAGCTCCTTGCTATTCTCTGCGGAATTCTTTTCAGTGAAAATACACCAACAGAATGATTGATCATGTTGAATCCAACACATGTGTAGAGAGTGAGTCATCAGCTCTCCAGGCCTACATGTGACAGACCATTTCATGCCTCTCTATGAAACTATATGTAGTCCTAATTAAAGTATGAGAAAATCTAACAAGAAGTGCTCTTGTGAATTATTTATGCCAGTGTTCTCCTTCTATGGCAGCAGAAGTTGAGAATTGCCTAGGCAGAGGGTATATCAGGTACATGAAGCTTTTCCTATCACTGTTAAAGATTTAACTTGACTGCATTCGTTCACACCTGTAATCTCAGCACTTTGGGAGGCTGTGGCAGAAGGATTGCATGAGACCAGGAGTTCGAGACCAGCCTGGGTAACATAGTGAGACCCCTGGTTCTATAAAGAATAACAACAACAACAAAAATAGCCAGGCATTGTGGCGCATGGCTGTGGTCTCAGCTAGTTGAGAGGCCGAGGTAGGAGGAAGCCTTGTGCTTAGGACATGGAGGCTGCAGTGAGCCGTGATGGATCACACCACTGTACTCTAGCCTGGGCAACAGAATGAGGCCTTGTTTCAAAAAAAAAAAAAAAAAGAGAAAAGAAAAGAAGGATTGAATTTAAAATGCATCTAAAAACCAGAATTACAATCAACAAATCAATTTATGAGGCCCCTATTTCTGTTTCTTTGTGCTAGAATCATGTGTGTGTTATACCCCAGGCCTTACCGTGCAATCTGCCTGCAGGGAAAAGAAGGTGGTCTGGGAGATTAGAGTCACACCTGTTCTCACTTACTAGTGTTACCCAGGCAACAGGTTGGTTCAATTGCTTGGCAAGTAACCGTCCAATGATAACCAAGGAGATTGAACAGGGGGTTTTACTACTTGCCACAAGTAAGGAGGATACCAGGGACAGGTCCTAAAACAGCGCCTCCTCTAACAAAGCTGAACACGGTTCTTTTATTTGGCTGGTAAACTGAGTCATTGTATGGAGAGGTGGAGTATAGGAAGCACAGGCGCAGCCGCCAATCCTGCCTCTACATACATCACATGCACAGAAAATGGAAAACAAGCTTCTCCCTGAGCTTGGAGGTTAGTATGGTAATGAGCGGAGTTCGCCAAAGTTCGTCTCCAACACAGGCCTCTCTGGCTCCCATCAGTTTTTGTTTTTTTCCAGGGCTGAGCTTCTTCCTAGAACAGTTTTGAAACAAGAACTCACGGTACAGCAGTCACAAATGAGACCTTTTCACAATAATGCATACCCAAACCCCAGCAACCCTGGGTTATACTAGCTATGTGTATCTGTGAATAAATTAGTCTTTGGTTTTCTGGAACAGAGGATGGTTAACTCTGCCAAGTGAAGAGACTGTGAGGGTGAAGGAGCATGATTAATCCTGGCATAGAACACACTCCACAAGCAGTAGGTCTTTCCTGGTCTCTTTCTACCCTTTGATCTCTGTAAGAGGCGCCCCCCTGACTGCACATTCTAAGGCCTCATACATTCCAAGCACCTCCACCTTTAATTCCCACGTTCTCAGATGAACAATTCTTAGGAAATTCTGGAGTCTGCCATTCACTGGCAGGTGCTTGAAATTCCAGATTCTTAATGCTGCTGAGGTTCTCCAGGAGGGAACTCCAGGAGAGGCACCAGGAGTAAGATGAGGCCAGGAGATTCACTGTCAGCTTGTCCCACACATTCCAGCAGGAGTCTCGGTACTGAAGTGGGACACACAATGCTTGTTCTTCAGGGGCCCCGGCAGGGAAAAGTTACTTCTCATTCCCTATTTGAGCAGGTACTGGTGTGAGAACTGTGCTGAGCATGGTATTGAGCACTAGCCTAGGAGACTCACCTTCCGCTAAGTTGTGGGTCATTACTGTTTATCCTTTCTGACCACACATCACTCCCAACAGGCTCTGTTGATAGAGACAGGAAGCAGAGAAACTCTAGGCAGACAGGGAAGGTCCCTGGTGAAGTCCCACCTTCCAGCTGAAAAGCATGAAACCCATGGCCCAAAGTGCGGACTTCTGTCCTTGTGTGCCTACTCTCTCCTGATTGTTTCTTTCTAAATAATGTCTTTTTACCAATTGTTGCCTTTTCTAAAACTACCTATGGGTTGCCCTGTTCCCCATCTTTTGCCTATAAAGACTGCAGACTCGGGAAAAAGAGAAACAGCTTAACTGTAGAGAGGGAACTTGATGTCAGAGGGATGGCTGGCCTTAGGAGGAGAGATGGCTTAATATTGGAGAAGAGCCAGTCAGAGATGTTCAGACTTCAGGGAAGATTACCTGCCCATTCTGTCTCCTCTCCAGCTCCCCTCTCTGCTGAGAGCCATTTCCATCGCTTAATAAAGTTCTCTGCCTTCACTATCCTTTGTGTGTCTGGGCAACCTCATTCTTCTTGGATGCTGAACTGAGCTTGGGACTCACTGAGTGTGGGTACCCAAAAAAGGCTGTCACACTGGCCCGTTGTCCTTGCCAGTGGAGGGCAGCCACCCCACAGGACACCCCATTGAGCTGATAACACACTGCTGTCCATGGATGGCAGTGCTAATAGAGCATTGTAGCACACCTTCTCAGGCTTTGGGGGTTGCAGGCACCCCACCTGTGCACCGCCATGGGGCCTGCACGGAGCCGGCTCCTGCTAGATCCCAAAGCGGCTGGGCAGATTCTGAACTTGCTTGCTTGGGTGCTTCCTCCAGCAAGAGGTTGAGTACAGTGGGCTGAGTAAGCTGGTACCCCTGTCACAGGTCTGATGAAGGGGTGGAGAAAAACTCCTACATCGCTGTCACCTAGCAGACCCGTTGCCTTGCAAGTCCTGATAGAAGAAAAGGGACATTCGATAAGGTTTATGCTTCTTGGTTGAATGTGTTACTCCTCCCAGAAGACTTTTCATTTTAATGAGAATCAAGGAGAGTAAAAAACCAAAGGAATGAAACATCTAGTAGTAGAATATCAAATATGAGGACCCCAGAGGGGAGGAGCCTTGGGTAGCCATGGCTCTGGCGCCCTGAGGAAGGTGGTCTCCACTGATCTTCCTAAGAAGCCCATCACGTGGGAAACAGTTTTGTTCCTTATGCAGCAAATATGTGAGTATAGGCTAGTGTTTAAATATAAGGACCCAGGCCAGGTGCAGTGGCTCATGCCTATAATCCCAGCATTTTGAGAGGCCAAGGCAGGAGGATCACCTGAGGTTGGGAGTTCAAGACCAGCCTGACCAACATAGAGAAACCTTGTCTCTACTAAAAACACAAAATTAGCCGGGTGTGGTGACTCATGCCTGTAATCCCAGTTACTTGGGAGGCTGAGGCAGGAGAATTGCTTGAACCCAGGAGGTGGATATTGCGGTGAGCTGAGATCATGCCATTGCACGCCAGCTTGTGCAACAAGAGTGAAACTCCATCTTAAAAATAAACAAAGAAACAAACATCAGGACCCACATTAACCAGAACACCCAGTAAAATACTGTTTTGCCCCTACCCTATTCCCTTGGCAAACTGACTCAAGAGAAGTCCACTCTCAATGACAGTGATGGCAAATAGCTGTGCTGCCACCCTCTGTCCCCCATGCCTGGCACATGCCTCTCCTCCATCCCCGTTGACTCAGGATCCTTCTCAACCCTACATCCCAGGCAAATATTGTTTCATCAGGTTTTACTAATGCGATAAAATTGATCTGCCTTCCTCAGACTACAATTTGAACATTCTAGATGAGGTAGTCTGCAGAATAAATATTGTCTCCCATTTTGCTGATTTTACTCACTTTAGGGATGGCATGTAGCGTTCCCAAGATCATCAGGTGGTTTCTGGCAGAAAGACGCCTCAAAATGGGATCCGAACTCGTCAAATCCTGCACTCATCTACTCCGTGTTTCCTTGAAATCACGGGTTCCTGTGTTTTTCTTTACACACTTAGGAGATGTTAACACAAAGGTACTGCTCCCAAGGGTGTAGATTTTCACAGAAACAAAACACAAACCAGTTCTTTAGTTAGCAAACAACTTGGGCTTAGGAATTCCTGTGTGACCCCTTAAAAGGAATTATCTGACATACTTCATTACATCCTTCCCTTTGAAAAGCTGCCTTCACCTACTGACCCTGGTCAGTAAAGTAAACATGCTGATTTCGATGATGATAAAGTCCAAGTGAGTCCCAGTTTTAGGATTGTTCGATGTACAGGGTGTTTTATTTGCCCTGTCATATTGAAAGAAGCTTTAAGAACAAACTTATTGGGCCAGGCCCTGTGGCTCACACCAGTAATCCCAGCACTTTGGGAGGCCAAGGTGGGTGGATCACAAGGTCAGGAGATCAAAAACCTCCTGCCAACATGGTGAAATCCTGTCTCTACTAAAATACAAAAAAATAAAATAAAATTAGCTGGGCCTGGTGGTGTGCACCTGTAGTCCTAGCTGCTCTGGAGGCTGAGGCAGGGGAATGGCTTGAACCCAGGAAACGGAGGTTGCAGTGAGCCGAGATTGCACCACTGCACTCCAGCCTGGTGACAGAGCAAGACTCAGTCTCAAAAAAATGAAAAAAAAAGAACAAACTTACTGACTTCCAGGATCCCCTCTGTCATACAGAGCCTCTGATCTGCATGCCAGCACTGCATTGTCACTGGGGGGTATACTTCCAAAATGTTTGGTATTCTGAATTCTAGAAAATGGCCAAGTACAGCATTATGTTCTCTGCTTCTTAAAAACCTTCCGTTTGGCATGGAAACACATGCTCTCATCTGTATGTGGAGTTGGTCTGTGTGTGGCTCTTCAATCAAATTACCCAATATGGGACTATTCATGGGGAGCTCTTCTGAGAACTGAGTCAGAACTCAAGGGCTGGCCAACTCAAGGGCTCTCCTGGCTTCCCACCCGTGGTGCTTGCTAAATGCTTATTTTACTTGCTCCACCAGTTCTCATCAACTTAAAATCAAACTCAAGCCGTGGTTGTCAACGTGACTGTTGTTGACTAGTCTAGCCTGTATTACTCCTTCTTTTATCTGAATTAATACAGTGTGCATTTTGATAAGAGCTGCTTTTTATGGTTGATTGTGTGTGTACTGCACTACTGTAGGGTCCCATTCACAGTGTTGTCATTGAAAATCTGTATAGTGATCACTACATCATTCCAGCATACAATAGGAGAGTGCCTTGAAGCAGGGTACTTTGTTAATACACATGAAGGTGCCATATTCAATAGGGAAAGAGCTACCCACTAGTTCCAACTGCCCAGTCAGAAACTGGGAGTTATCTTGTTCTTCACTAAAGGACGTGTACCTTGAGGTCTAGAGGAAACGATCATTGACTGAATATCTATTAGGTTGCCAGGAACTGGGCTGGGCAGTATGTTATCTTGCGTTATTTTGTTAATAATTATAAAGTTGTGAATTGTGTCCTTATTTTAGAGGTTAAAATGTAGGATAATTTGTTCACGTATGTGGCTGATCATCAAAGAGCAGTGATTTGAACTCCGATCTTCCTCATTTCAAAGTCCATATTCTTTCCAACATATCCATTAGTCCACAGTATATATGGCATAAGGATCAGCCCTCTGAGGATGCTCAATAAATGCTATGATAATTAATTAGCTAAAAAGAACAGCAGGGAGCAGTTCATGAGTCATCTGGGTTTTGTTTATTGCCTGTAGAGTTTAGCTGTCCTTTCTCATAGTGCAGGTAAGAGAGAAAGTACTGATGTGGGCCGTGTGGACCCATAGCTGCTTGGAGGCTCAGCATCAGGACTTACCATCCAACCTTACATCTTTGGAATTTCTAAATCTTCCCCTATGTGGAAGTGACACCACTGTAGTAGCGTGGAAAGTTGATTGGAACTTGGTGGATATTAACTGAAACATCTTAGAAACTCTCTGGAACCCAGAGACCCCAGAGATGAAACTTTGGTTGCAACTTATTAGTGGAGGATTGTATTAGCCCGTTTTCATCCTGGTAATAAAGACATACCCAAGACTAGGTAATGTATAAAGGAAAGATGTTTAATTGACTCACAGTTCAGCATCACTAGGGAGGCCTCAGAAAACTTATGATCATGTGGAAGAGGAAGGAAACATGTTCTTCTTCCCTCGTGGCAGGAAGGAGAAGTGCTGAGCAAAGAGGGAAAGGTCCCATATAAAACCATCAGATCTTGTGAGAACTCACTGTCACAAGAACAGCGGCATGGGGGTAACCGACCCCATGATTCAATTATCTCCCACCGAGTCCCTTCTGCAATGTTTGGAGATTCTGGGTACTACAGTTCAAGATGAGATTTGGGTGGAGACCCAGCCAAACTATCTCAAGGACAATTTTAAAATCTTCTAAATTCTGTTTTATTATTCAGCATCTCACATTTAAAGTGTTTAGACAACATTGTCCTGTGGGCAAGAGTGCCTGCCTGGGCTATGACTACATGAGAAATCGGTTTGCTGCAGTGTATAGATGCCTGGATATGGCAAGAAACCACATTCCAATGCAAGTCCTGCACATCAACAGCTGTCCTCTCTGGCCAGTCACTTCATATCTCTCTACGTTTACTCACATACAGAATGTGGAAAATAACCTCTTCCCTTTACCTATCAAGGTCATGATGTTAAGGTAATTTTTTTTTTTTTCTTTTGAGGCAAGATCTAGCTTCTGTTGCCCAGGCTAGAGTTCAGTGGCATGATTCTGGCTCACTGCAGCCTCAAACTCCTGGGCTCAAGAGATCCTCCTGCCTCAGCCTCCCACGTAGCTGAAACCACAGGCATGCACCACCATGCTAGGCTAATGGTTATACTTTTTGTAGAGATAGGCTCACATTATGTTTCCCAAACTCATCTCAAACTCCTGGACTCAAGCGATCTTCCTGTCTCAGCCTCCCAAAGCTGAGATTATAGGCATGAGCCACTGTGCTTGGCCTGAAAATATATTTTGATGTAGAAGTGTTTTAAAGTTTGCTAGTGGCAAATTCATATCACTATACTGCTAATAATAATATTTAGTCATTCATTTGGGTATTCAATGAATATTATTAAGATCTATCTGTCACAGGTACTGTTTTAGGCACTGATGATACCTAGTTGAAAGTGATGCATATGGTCCCTGTTCTTGAAGAACTGATATTTAAATGAAGGTAGATACAATATAAACAATTAGTAAACTGTTTATAAAAGAAAGAAATGTACAATATTGTTTCAAATAATAATAAGGACTTAAAGTAAGAAAGGGCAATGCGATAGAATAGGGGTGCGGCCGCATCTGGCTGGCTGCCTGTTTTTGTACTGACCTGGGGCAGAGATTTGTATTTATATTTTTAAATGACTAAAATGGAAAAAAGAAAGATCTCTTGATATGTGAAATTATATTAAATTTAAATTTTGATATTCATACTTACATTTTTGTTAGAACACAAATACTCTAATTCAGTGACAGAATTGAGCATCTGCACAGAAATCATAAAAAATATTTACTATTTTATATTACTATTTGACCCTTCATAGAAAAAGATTTACTGATTGCTGTGATGTACTGTGATGGGGGTATGATTTGGCCAATTTGCTCAGAAAAAGGCTTTACAGGTTTCCCTCATCACCAGTATTGTCTTCATCATTATAAATATTATTTTATACCTTCTAGATGAGTAATCTGTGATAAATGATTTAATCCATCATTGTCACATTCAGAGCAGATGAACTTTAAAGTCAATTCCTGCTTGATTTTGTGACACTTTGAATGATGTATAGTCAAGTTTCTCTCTGTTAGTTGTTATTATTTTTGTTCAAGTATCCACAGCAAAATTTTTATCCTTGCCAGCTTCTCTTTGCCACCTACCTGCGTTTTTGCACACCCCGTTCTGATGTCAGATGGTGTGTGCCAACAGATTGTATTAGTCTAAGGAAAACATAATTATGAAGGTAAAACGGATACAAAATAAGGTCATTTGCTGAGCCAAATATAAATTATATTTGGATCACTTATTGTTTGGGATTTTCTGCCTCAGTGCTACCCCCATTAGAGAGCTAATCAGGAGCCAGCTGTGACTGCGACTGGAGCAGTATCTTACGTGTAAGTTTCATAAAGGCTGGCTGGTGCAATGATTAGCCGATGCCATCTATCAGCCAGCGCCATGTGGCTGTCATCCGCTTGTGTTGGGATGTGCTTTACAGAGAGGTGGGAACCTCTTCAGGCATATTGCTGGGGCGAGGAAGCTACCACATTTTACCCAAGAGGAAACACAAGAAAAGTCAGAGAAATGCAGGAAGTAAATGAACTGCAAGTGAAAATCTGGAGATGTCACCTTTTGGGGTATAAATATGATTTGATACTGTGAAACTTTCAGTGGATCCTCATGTGGGAATAACTGTACATTTAACTTTTAATGACTGATAACCAGTGGCAAACAAAGCTATTTTTAAATGTGTTAATCGCAATGGTATTGACGTACATTGAGGACAGAGCAGTACAGGTGTACACAAGTTATTTTTATTCAGTAAACAGTCCTTGGTGTGCATATGGATTTGAATTTTCTTTTCTAATAGTTGCAGATCTGACATGAGAGTAGCCCATAGATTGGGAGTCATTCTTTCGGATCAGGAATCAGCAAGCTACAGCTAGTGGGCCAAATCTGGCCCACCACCTGTTTTAGTAAATAAAGTTTTATTGGAACACAGCCACACTCATTTGTTTACTTATTGTTTATGGCTGCTTTTGGACTATAATGGCAGAGTTAAGTAGTTGTGACAGAAACCATCTGGCATATAAGCCAAAAAATATGTCTTATCTGGCCCCTTACAGAAAAAGTATGTGGACCCTTGCATTCAATTATTGATTTCTCATGGACAAGGGTGGGTTTTTAAAATGATATTTAAATACCAGTGTATCATAAATATGCATGTACTATCTGGTAAGGTGGAAGAAAATATGACAAAAACATTCATAAGATTCTGAAATATAAATTCCGGATATTGTACACGATTCTGAAATAACAAAGCTGAAGAATATTTTATTATTTATATAGGCAATTCCTTTGCCCCTATGG